GACACTTGCCACTTCCAGGGCTCCTTCCCATTTTGGGGAATCGCTGGGATCCTGGTCTACGAGGCCGAGTCCTTCACTTTGGCCATCTACTTCTCCAACCCCATTGACTACAACAAATTCTCCATGGAGCTGGGCCTGGAGCTGTCCCTGAGCAAAGCCCACCGGGGCAGGCTGGACAACATCTACGCCCGCATGGCCAAAGGCACCTACTCCAGTTCCTGCGTGGACTTCAAGTTTGATCGTGTCATCGTGGACAGGAGCGACGGGATCATCCAGCTCAGTGACGGCCCCGTCAAGGTGACGGCCAACATGTCCAACAACAAGACCGCCACGCTCATCGTGGTGCTGGAGGAACAGTTGAGGATTGGGAGAAGAAGCTAAGATTGAGACCCCCTGAAAGGATTCCAGGAGAAATGAGAACCTGCAGGATCTTCAATGAAACCTCCAGGATATCCCAGGAAACCTGAAAACCCCGCAGACACCCCCAGAACCCTGTAGACATCCACACAACCCTGTAGACACCCCCAGAACCCCACAGACACCCCCAGAACCCCGCAGACACCCCCAGAACCCCGTAGACACCCCCAGAACCCCGTAAACACTTCTAGAAAATTGTCACCTTGAATGCTGCAGACTCTCCAGAAGAACCTTGGAGAAACCACCGGGACTGTTTGGACACCCCTAGACTCTCATGGACATCCCAAGGTTGGGATGTCCCAGTCCCTCTTTTGGACCCTCCCAGATCTCTCTTGTTCCCCTTTTTTTTTTTTGCTTTGCTCAATAAAAACAGAATTTCAGATCTTGATTTGTGGAGTAAACAAACTGGGATGTGGGATCTGGAAGGGGTCTGGGGTTGGAATTTGGGATGGGGGGGTGTAACGGTGGGTCTGGATTTTCCCTCATTTTTTGCCTCAAAGAAGACCCCAAGGACCCCCACCCTGGTCGCTTTTGGGCAGGAGTTTTCTGGCCAGGTCCAGGTGGGTGCTTGCCAAGGGACTGTGTGCAGGTGTGTCACTGTGCAGGTGTGTGTGCAGGTGTGTCACTGTGCTGTCATGGTACCAGCTGAAGCTGCAAGTACTGCACGTCTGCACCTGCCTCCTGGAGCACCTCACAATGCTCCATAAAACTTCCCACATCTTGGCCAGAATCCACTCACTTTGGGAAAGGACCATAAAAAAGTGACTCTGTGGAGAAGTTTTTAGTATTTCCCACGGATGAAGCCCCATCCATTGGCTGGCCCACGAGAACATCCATCTTTACTGTTGGTAGTTATTCCCCCAGCCCCTCTTTTTCTCTCTCTACTTTGTTTCCTTTATCTCTTCCCTCTACCACAAATGAGTTGTTGGCATTCAAGAAAAATTAGTTGCTGTGAATAAACTGATTTGTCCCCCGCTGTTTGCCTTTTTTCACCTCCGAGATCCAAAAATGAACCATCAGAAATAAAATATCTGAGCAATCCCCCAGAGTCTGCGCTTCATTTTGGGGAGGGGGCACCTGAGGAATGGGGGAGGACATTTCCTACCTTTTTCATTTCATGTTTTCTTCTCTTTTCCCTTCATGTTTCCTGGCTTTTTTTCCACTCATGATTCTTCCCCTTCACAGTTCTGCCATTTTCTCCCCTCACGTTTTCCCGCCCTTTTTCTCCCCTCACATTTTCCCGCCCTTTTTCTCCCCTCACGGTTCCGCCATTTTCTCCCCTCACATTTTCCCGCCCTTTTTGTCCCCTCACGGTTTCACCCATTTTCTCCTCACTTTTCCCACCCTTTTTCTAACAGAACTTCTTTAATTCTGCAATGTAACTGTTAAGTAACTTCTCCCCCTCTGATCCCAATTCCTTTCATTCCCCCCAGCCCCCCGGATCCCAGATTGCCCCCCCAAAATCCCATAAATGAGGGGGGGCAAAATATCTCATAAATGAGGGGGGGTCCCATGATGGGGAGGGCGGGTCAGGACCCCCCAAAAC